ATTAAAACTTCAACAGAGTAAACATTTATCACTGAGTTAATGTACTGAAATAAATGAATACTACTTCTCATTTCCTTAGTGTTATATTGTTTCTGTAGTTGGCATATAATTAATTGCCATCACCAGTATACCCCCTGTATGCATCGCCCACACACTCTTTTCACTGGCACTTGAAATAAACAGGTTTCATCAGTTCAACCTGCAGACAATAGCTTTAAATAGATTTTCAAGCTTGAGTTGGAAAAAATATTTATACATCAAGATTAAAGTTTGTGTCTGAGAAGCTGATACGACAGATCCTCAGGTTATCTCACAGTTGAGGGTTAGGTAATGATTTTTTTTATTATTTTTTTTTCATATTTAGAAAGTACTGTTACTGAGTTGGCAATGTGTAGCTGCATATTGTATGTAACAGATATGACAATTTATCATAATTTGTCATCATTTTACTAGCATGTTAGAAGTTGGTGAGTTACTTTTTTTATTTTTACATAACTATCAAGATGATTAAATATTAATTGGTGAAAAGAGGGGGCCGGTGGGTGCTGCTTTGTCATTACAACTCAAACTGCTGTGTGGGCTGTCTGACTAGTCACAACCTGTCATCCCAATGAAACTCAGATCCTGATGTTTGACTGGCAAAGACGACAAGGTGAAAAGGTGATAGAAGAAAGCCAACAGAACATTTACACACACAGACACACACACGAATAGAAACAAATGTAGTGGCACCTACTGAGAATATATGAGATGTAGGTCTAAATGAAAGACATTACTTGTTACGCAAATGTTCCCAGTAGCCACATGTTATTAATGCATAAAGCACATAGTTAAAGCTTTACGTAGCATTTAGCTTTATAGTAATCATTACATTATATATCTGTTAAAGGTGCATTGCGTATCTTTCCTAGTGGAGGGTCTGTCACCTGCTTGTCTCCATGGAGATGTTATTGCTTTATTTAGAATTTTCCACAGTAGAGATTAAACATATCTCTCTCAAGGGAAACTATAGTCTACATTACAGGTCAGATCTGTGGAGAGGCAATAGAAAGACCCATAATGAAATGTTAGATGTGTTTAATGTCGTACCATGGAGCATTCTATGCAAAGTTATAACGTCTCTATGGAGACGAGCAGTTGACAGGCACTCCACCAGGCACAATGCACCTTTAACTGTAGGTACAGAGTTGACTATAAATTTTATTTATTTTTCCAGTGTTTTTTTTTTTTTTTTTTTTGACAACAGCAATGTTGTGGCTAAAAGATTACCTGGTGCAAGTCTGAACACTATAAGTTGTAGTCTATTGCTTTAGTTCTTATTCCCTTCTTCAAAGTTGACACACTTTTTACCCCCCGCCTTTTGCCCCTTCCACACCCAGCTTTGATCCCTGCTACTTGTCAGTCAGGGCATTGCTTATCTGAACCAATATGGCTGCACAAAGGGCTGGAGGACAGAGCAGACAGGAGAAGAGTCAGAGACGGGTTTCTCTGAATCACCTTCACTTCCATGACAAACTTTATTTTGTAAATCATAATAACGTGAGCCCTGGAGGCAGGGGGCAGCAGCGGGGTGCATGGGACAGGGAAGGGGTGAGATGGTGCACACCGGGACAGAAGGTCAGATATACCACAGTTGCACGGCAGCAGATATTTTTATTTAGACTGAAATATGGAAATAGCTTTTAAAGTTGTTTAAAGGACATTTAGTTTGAAAATGATGGCAGATTTTCTGTTATAGTATAGTGTTCTGTTTTTGTAGTATTAAGGTAAAACTAATTTGATGAGTTTCTTTGTAAAGGAGGTTCAGTGGGTGGGAAAATGGATTGGGATCATCATAAGTAGCCATATCAAGGCTACGTAGTAATAGAAATTTACACCAGGAGCGTCAGCGACATGTAACATAAGCAGAGCTGAATATGCGTGTATACTTTTGAAAGCTTCAGTTTACACCAGAGGCAGCAGAGCTGCTCCTGTGACGCCAACCTCTGCGTATTCTCACATTTAAACACAAAACTTTTTACACTGCTTATGTATTCAGTGTTAACTGGATGAATTATGTTGTAAATCACAATACGAAAGTTGACAACAAGAGAGACAATGCTTTGCAGCAATTACAAGCCGTATGTGCAGTGCTCGCATTAATTAAAATTTAAAGCTACTCACCATTTCACTTTGGTTGTCTGCACCACACACCATTTCCTTCAGAAGTTGTTTTTGTAAAGTTGCTCTCTGATGTCGTAAAAAGTTTAATATTTTTCCTCCATGGCTGTAAACTTTCCATAGTCCATCACGAGTTATTATCCGAGCTCCTGGATGCGACGCATGGTGTTTGAGCTTGGTTTTAGAAACGTATTTTGAAAGAACATTGTAAGTTTATTTTTACACTTTGTGCTTATTTCCTGTCTTGCCTCTGCTTAAAAGCCTGTAGATGCTCTGTTTATGCTGAAAAATTTGAACTCCAGCCTAATTTAAGTGATGCGTAGCGTAATGATGGCCACTGGACACGTGTATGACACTGCTCGTGTAAGGTGTCCAACTGGTTAAAATGTAAAACGACACCTGCACATATGCGTGTATGCCACTGCGCGTATATGCCGCCGCTGCGCGTATTGCTCTGCTGTAAATTGGGGGTTAGACAGATTTATATATCTACTTCCTCCTTTCACGAGTGAAATTTCAGTACCCCAGTTGAAAACTTAAACAACCTCCTCACTTTTATTGTAAGTACACTTGTACTTGTATCTTTACATTCCCTTGACTTCACATTTCACTGTGATTGGGTAATTCTCACTCACTCACTCACAATTCTCACTCATTTAGAGCCTTAAAGACAATGACCAAAGGAGGAGTGGGCGGGGAAACATATCTGTATTTGAGCACAGAGCTGCATTAAACAGAAACTTAGTGAATCATGATATGAAACTTTTACCAAAATAGAAGATTGTCACAGGAATAGGACCTTGATTTGAATCTTTATCGCCATATCGCCCAGCCCTATAATGCTTACAGTGACTCCCATATAATGAACTCCCATATGCCAGTCAAAGCCTCTTGTGTTGTGTCTGTCTGTGCAGAACTGTGTGTATTTGTTTGCTCTTGCTTTTGCTGTTTGCGTTTGAGTTGCAAGGTTATACCAACAAGCCAATCACCTGCCAGTTTACAACTCTCCTCCTGCTACGCTCCACTGTTCACAAACAAGCGTCCCGTCTCCCCATCACCTCCCCATACTGCCATTATTCAGCTCACACTCTATTTAAGTATTTTTTAAATTGATGCCCATACGTAAGCAGTAGGTGAAATAAGCTACCTCAGTCTGTCTTCCAAACAACAAAGGAACAGTTAATTCATTTTTTGATTCATGCCTTCTTAAGAGTGGCTTTTGGTTTAATCTCTCCTTTTTACTGTTAATCTGTTTACATCTTTTTCCTGGAGGCACATTCAATTATCACAGTGGAGAGGCAGTTTCTGTTAATTCCTGTGGAGTTATGTGTCCATCTCTCTGTTAGACTCAAATGAGAATGAGAACTAACCATTACTGTTTAGTGAATAACGTGTGTGTGGTGGTGTATTTAGCACCGTGTGGGCACCAAAGTCTGTATGCACACACACTTTATGGGGACATGCCACCCTAACAGGAACAAAAGTCAGATCCCCTGCACTAAAATCAAGTAGCTTACAGTTAAAATACTAGTTTGAAAGTTTGTGTGAACCAAGCATAAAACAGACTCATCTATCATTACATCTTTAACACACAAACCCTGCATATTTAGGCTTGAGTTATTTTCTTTCTAACCTTAAACTGTCATCTGGTAATACAGGAAGAGCTCCACTGTGTTTTTAAACTGCCCATACCTTCACCAGAATCATTTGGATGATTTCAGCTCTGGAACTGGAATTTATCTCTACTAAACAAAAGAAAACCACCACTACGTGACATCACAAGGTGGAACAGAGCATTTTGAGCTTTGGAGATGTAGACAGACTACTCAAACATGTGTGAATGAAACAAAACACAAGTTGAGGAGGTAACAAAATTCTAATATGACTTAAAGTTCACAAGAGACCTTTAATAAAACAAATTCACCTGGATATAAATTGTTTCCATATGAGCTTTTCTTTGTAACAGTCTCATTTAAATTACAAGATAGCCCTTCACGTGCTTTTGGAGTGGATAGTGTAGAAAAACATGCACATAAGTTCCTAGTACAAAGTGTATCATCTTTTCCGCTCACACCCCACAGTCCTCTCATACTTTAATTAGGGCACATTTTAATTGCATTGATTTGAAGCTCCATGTGAAAGATCCGACTCCCACACCATTGCCACAGTAAGGTGCAGACAGGTTATCACAGAGGTCACGTGGCTCTTAAGTCTGCTGTCAAAGGAACTAGTAATTATCCCACCTGCAGTAGAAAAGAACAATGGACACCTTTGTCTTGTTCTCTACATTTAACTCACAAAGTGGAAGATAATAATGTCTTTGTTTTTTTTCAATTGCTTTACCCTTGCTAAGTTGTAGCTATGTACATAACATAGCAAGTGTTGGGCTTGTCTATAGGTTGGTCTAGTGCAGTGAAAGTTGATCTGAAGTACTGCTGTAATGTAAAAAGGTTGTCGATAAAACCCAGGTGCTAATCCATACTAAAGTTCACTTTAGATGCTAGTTGTTTATATAGATACTAGTGGAAAAAATGCATATGGGAAAATTAAACTTTTTCAAAATGATCTCTGAATGGTCTAGATCTAAATTCATCTTAGACTAATTAGACATCTATTATAGTACACAAATGAGCTAGATAAACTTGCTGCAATCTGCATACAAATACACAAAGTGACCCCTGTTTACAGAAAACTGGACAACCTTTTTTAGAATTGTCCTGAGGCTCTTCCCATGATTCACACAGAAGTCTTGTATTGATTTGTATACTGTTCTTTACAGTCTCTTCTTTCTGTTGCCCAGAGCAATCACTCACCATGTTTATTTGTGTTTTTGTCATTAGGCTGAACCAGAGGGCTTCTCCCACTTCCACCTCTACGTTTGTGCAGCCTTCCTGGTGCGATGGCGGAAAGAGATCCTGGAAGAGAGAGATTTTCAGGTATCATGCGCACGCCTCCACACGGATCCTTTTTGCTCTCCTTGAACTAAATATTCATAGTATTAGAAATGTCTCATCGGCTCCAAAGTAAACAATACACCTTTACACAGTCCAGTATCAAAGAGTGCTAAACCAGCGAGACCCCAGTCTCCCAAGCCTCCAAACATATTTTTGTTCTTTCTATTGTAAACTTGGATGATAGAGAGAGATATATAGATATATAGATGTATATAGGGAGTTCATTAAAATGAAGAGACTACATGTGTGGGTTTCTTGTCATGATGAATCATGATCTTTTTCCTTGAAGCCCCCCTGCATGAACCGGAAACCTGCAGGTTCCCTTCTGCCTAAAACTGTTGCCCCTGCAAATACAACACCTATAAAATTACAAACTTTATTACAAACATTTATTTAATAGAAATAGACATGGGTATGTTCCCATACCCATTTTCCAATCATTATTTTGGATTTGGGATTAGAGCATACTTTTATACTCTTACTAGGTCTTTTGTGCTTAGTTTAGACATGGTGGAAACCAGCCCATGTAGCACAGTTCATGCATTCTTTTTTCTAGTTAAGTTGAGTTAATTGTAATTTTCTATATATTTTTTTTTGTTTCACACCAGAAGCTGTCATGATATTGACACATTTAAGTTAAGAGTGTAGAAACCCAAATATTTAGTGATGTTGTTGTGACATACTCTGTCATCTAAATACAATTACTGATCATGAGCTTGTCACATTGCAGGCTTCCAGAAAAGAGAAATTAACTTGTGTTTACTTAAGACTATAGACTCTGCTAATGTCTCACCAGTAGCAGTGTGCTGAAGCAGTGCTGAAATGGCAGTGGGAGGAAAAGATAATCACCAGGGAGATGTAGCATTTAGTAACAAGCTTAATTGGACTGTTTCTCACCCAATAAGAAATCATTGAGATGTGATCCAAAACAGACATGTTCCCATAGTATTGCTCAGTGCTGATCACCAAATTTCTTCTGAAAAGCTGAGTACTGGAAAATTAAGATCTGTAAAATTCCTTAATTTTACACTTGATTAACCATTATTGTTTGTTCACTACTGTGTCCTATGTTATGTCATGAATTTGTAGACTTTTAACTACCAATATTCTCTTGATGAAATGGTTCCCCACTGCACATGTTCAGAAAGAAATAACACACTGAAATGAATTTTCCACCTCAACATATGCTATGTAACTTCTTGATGAATAGACAGAAGAAGATAGTAGCTCTACCAGAAAAAGTTACACAGTCCACCTTTAAAGTGGAACAGTGGCTCTCATACATGTTGTAGGAGACTGTAGCATGTTCCCTCTGCTGACACTGACGCTGGTATACATAGCTGTGTCCATGTAGATAAATCTATGGTGTTCCAGTTGTGTACAGACCCAGTAGAAGACTGTCCCATGCTGGCCTACATCCCTCCCCATTACCTCCCTGGTCATTAACTGTGGGTTTAAAAGTCATTGTGAGTGCATTAGGAGATGACAGTACACAGCTGCCAGAAGGTGACTTTGGCTGCCAACTCACAGGGGGACTTGGCCTCTTAACAGCAGCAATACCAGCTTCATCGCCACATACACAAACACTGCTTTTGCCTGCTTTCATTTCTTATCATTTTCAAGTTCGTCATCACTTTTTTTTTTTTACCTGGGTATAGAACATTTTGCATACATTGCACACTGTAATCCAAATACAAATATGTTGTATTTGTAAATGTTTTCTTGATCAGTTACGTTTGTCTAAGTCTAAACAATAGCTCAATTTTGATCATATGAATAAATGGATTCATATTATATATTCTGGTTTGTCTCTACAAACACTAGAATTGTGTATTTATATGAATTAGGTCGATGTGCAAATAAGTAATATTCAATAATACTCCATTTAAAGCTGACGTATTATGCACTCAATATTTCCGGGGTTTTAACCATGCTATAGTTGTTTCTTCTCATTTACCCTCTTGAAGTTGTATTTGGAGTGATCTGTGCGTGTTTGAACAGTGTTTGATCACTACAGTTTTCTAATGAGGAACTCAGCAGACATATTTCTTTTCATTGTAGATGAAGTGTAGATGAATATTGAGATTTACAATGTCCAAATTATAAAATAATGATTCATGGGTGTCACAGATTATAACTACATACAAACTTTAATATTTGCAATAGTGCATATTATAACTAAACTTGAAAATCTTCATGTACACGTAAAATTTTTGCTTGATTTTCATCTTAACACATTAGCACTTTGTACCGCAGAAATATTCCAATCTATTAATAATGAGAATGGAGAGTGTCACAGTCCAGCGTAATTGAGGTTGAAATTTGTGTTGGCATGTTCCTTTATGTCAGGAAAACATTAAAAATGAATTGTACATTTTCATTAAAGTTTTATAAGATGTTGCCCATTCTCATCTTGGCCATATTGCTTACATCTTACATATATTCAGCAAGAACATTGTGTCTAAACCACATTCCTTCTCTTCATTAACCTCCATTGCTGCACATTAAAGATGACCTTCTCTGTAGTGGCCCTATATACTTTTACACACTATACAAGCTCCACACACTACACAGCACTAAGGGCCCTGTTGATAAAAATGAGAGCAGCCATCAGCGGAGCACCAGCATTGGGAGTTTTTTGACTATGAAAACATGTAAAACTTTAAAGCTCCATAGAGTGACATTGAATCCCTCTCATTGTGCTGTTTTTATTTATTTCAATGGCTGTCAAGTGAGTATTTCTTTGTGAGGAACCATATTATGCTCTTGCAATACTGTCAGGGGATGGGAACGTGGCAGACAACCATTTAACAAATCAAAGAAGAGCAGTATATATTTTGCAAATGCACAAACGTTGGTTCTTTTGAAAGACAGCAAGTTAGGAGATGTATTCACCTTTACCTTGTATTTTGTACCAATCAAATAAACCATTCTAATGGCTAGCATTTTATATGACATTTGATTTAACCGTGAGCTCTTTCTTTGCATCTCCAACTCAATTACTTGTGCTTTTTTAAAAATTTAGTATATTTTTTCCCAATCATTTTATACAGAATTTTGATATCTATCTCCTGAACTAACCTATAAGCTCCACTGCACTGAGTCTTGCTGTAGAGAAACCAATGTATTTATGAAGATTTTATTAAGTAAGGATTGCTCTGGCAGTATAGAAGGAAGAGCACTGCAGTAAAACAATGAAAACTGCAACTCTGTGAACTCTGGAAGATAACTTTGTGACAAGTTAAAGCCGCTTTAGATTCAAGACCTACTGAGAAGAAATGACAAAAAGCAAGTACAGTATATTTAGAAAGAATCTGTTCTTTTGTGTGTAGGTGTTACGGCCATACATAATGTGTCAAAGATTCCCAGCCGTCTTTGTTCACTGGGGTCAGTGCAAATCATTATAGAAACTTGATTTTGAGATATATTACTTTACATCTTTGTTATCAGACATAGCCTGCCAGCTAAAACTATTTTAAACAGTGCTCTCCCGTTTAGTCCAGTTCCTGAGGGAAACAATAGCATAAAAGTTATGATAAATCATCTTCCTCCATATAACTGCCACTTCTAAAACAAACTAAAGAGCCATATCCCTTATGGGTGGCACAGTGGTCCAGTTGGGAATTACATAAAGATTGGGTTTGATTCCCAGAAAGGAGCTGGCTTTTTGTGGAGTTGGCATGTTCTTCCCGTCTGCAAATTTACTTTACTCCCCTAAAATAAACAACAATAAGGCATGGTCAAATAAAACAACAAATAAATCCATTCTGCTTTTTGGACTTTTATGTTTGGCCTGTCAGTTCAGATCTCACTCTCACTGATTTGCATATGATGATCATGAGCCCTCTTTTGTCCTGTCTGCTCTTACTTACCTTGTCTCCCAACAGATCTAACATGAACTGCTCCTCTGATCTCCTTAATCCTTATGGATTCATTAATTGTCATCATTAAGGAAATCTTAATGTCACCAATTTCACCTCAAACTCCAGTCTTTTAAAAATATGTTGAAAATGTCATCTTGGTTGACTCAAATTGAGTTGCGTATTGTGGCGTGTGAGATAACGTGACTAATTTTGGCACAGATTGAATAGGGGGTTTTGAAGGGAAAAGCTCATTTCTTTTTGGCTTGTACTGTCTAATTCTTAGAGATTTCTTCTGGTGATCTACTGATCTCCGAAGTTCAGACCAGGACAAGCATTTTTTTAAGGAGCTGCAACATCCTTCAACTCTGCCCTGTCCTAAATCCTGTTCTTTTTGTACTTACTGTTTTTTGCTTCCTCCTACATGACATACTTGTTTTTCAGGGCAATATTAAACCAACAAATCCTTGCACAGTTACATTAACAATCCCATGGTGCATTTCTTATACACACCATAAATGCATCATCAGCACACATCTCATATTCCTAAGGATGATATAAGCCAATCGTTATCCCCGTAGTAGAAGAGAGTGGCATGTTAGAGGCAGCTTTAAACCTCAATATGATCAAACCAATTAAAATACTGTGATTATAGCTCAATCTAAAGTTAATGTTAATCATGCAAGTAGAAACCATAAGTTATCTCTTTATGCAAAGAGTAACAAATGGCTTTTCACACAGACAACATAAGCTACATTATATGTAATGACCTTTACTTACACTTAAGACGTTCACTTTAATTAAAATTTTCTGTAAAAGCTGTGAGAACCAAAGTGAAGTTTACTAGCAGATCATGCCAGACTTTAAGTGTTTTTGGTATAAATGCATTAGAAGTAGTAGTTTCTCTCCTTCTTTCTCTGACATCCGGTTCACACACTGACATTATGAGCACTGTTTGGGTTTCCTGTTATATGCTCAAGTCTAGCATGTCTTAAGGAGACATTGCACCAAACGTCTTGCACAAACAACTCAAATTGGGTAGAATCTATGCATTATTGCTGTAATAACCACATCTGTTAAGCCGTAATTCCTTCCTCCCCAGTCACGCACTCTCACATTCAG